AATGATGGATTCACAAAATTGAAAGAGATCGCAACAGATAACCAGTGGATTTATATGAGAAATGATACATATTGTGAAACACTTGGTGTCGATACTTTTAAGCTGTGTCTACTTGGAGGAACAAATCTCCTACTAATTGATACTTTGTATGCGCCCAATAAATAGCACAATTTGATTCTTGTTCTCAGGCTAGACGACAAGGGTTATGAAATAAAGTTCAGATCTGGTTGGGTTACCATTGATAAACATTATTGAGCGTTGGTGTACGATAGTAAAGTTGACAATTTGTACCAATTGAACATCAATGAAAGTTCATCTTACTCTGGTTATATTGATATCTCTTTTGATGGGTATGTATGTGTGGATGATTCATATTTAGACACCTAAGATTAGGTTATATAAATAAAGATAAAATCAATCAAATGGTTAAAAGAGGTATGCTCCCCAATTCAGGAGAAATTGTGTTTAAAACATGCGAGCCATGTATTTTCGGTAAATTAACTAAGAAACATTTTTCTAAAGGAAAAAGTTTACTGAATTACTTAGTATCGCTCAATCTGATATATGTGGCCCATTAAATATAAAAACGCATAGAATGATGATGTATTTCATAACATTTGTAGATGATTATTATGATTATGGATAGCTATACTTAACTAGTAGAAAATCGGATGCATTAGAAACATTTAAAGAATATAGAGTTGAGGTAGAAAACCAACTAGGGAGACTAATTGTTAGAACTGATAGAGGAGGTGAATATTGCTCCGACTTATTTATCGAATTTGATAAGAAGCATGATATAATTTACTAAACCACCAAGCCATATACATCACAACAAAATGATGTAGTTGAAAAAATAAATAGAATTTTAATGGACATGGTTAGGTCAATGATGAACAATTTAGATTTATCACCTTATCTTTAGGGTGAGGCTCTAACTACTGCAATGTACATTATTAATTATGTTTCAACTATATCTATAGACTTAAGCCTATATAAATTATGGACAGATACAAAACCTGACTTTATTATCTTGAAAGTTTGGGGTGCTTGGGCAAATGTACTTATACCACCACAAAATAGAGAAAAATTACAAAATAAAACTATAAAATGTCATTTATAGGTTATTCAGAAAATTCTAAGGGCTATAGATTCTATAACTATGATATTAGATCCTTAACAGAGAGCCATGACGCTCATTTTTTAAAAAATATAGATAAAGAACATACTTTAAATAAGCATATTGACTTACACAAAATTGATAAAGATAAGGGTCTCGAAGACCCTATTTCTCAGTCTCTCTCTATAATTGGTGAGAATAATTCAATTGAACCTAGTATACCAAATAGACCTAAAAGAACTAGAGCCCCACCTACAAACTTTAGAAAATTTTATGTGTTTATGAATGAAGATGATTATTCTCCAATGAGTGATGATTCAATAAATGAACCTCAAAGCTACAGTGAAGCTACTAGCTCACATGAATTAGTTGAGTGGACTGAAGCCATAGATAATGAGCTTGATTCTATTAAGAGGAATCAAGTTTGTGAGTTGGTTGACATCCTTAAAAATAGAAAAGCTATTGATTGTAAATGGGTCATAAAGAAAAAACTTAATGCAATGGATCCAATTGTAAATATAAAGCTAGGTTGGTAGCTAAAAGATTTATCCAAAGGGAGGGTATAGATTATATATAGACTTATTCTCCTGTAGCAAAAATTTTATCTATTAAGGTCATCCTAGCATTAGTTGCATATTATGATCTATAATAAAACAACTTTCTTGAATGAAGAATTAAAAGAAGATATATACATGAAACAACTAGAAGGAAGACAAAATATACAAATTAAAGAAATCTTTACATGGTCTAAAACAATCTCTTAGGCAGTGTTATTTTACTTTTCATAATGCAATCACTGAAATTAGTTACGTAGCCAATATATTAAACTATTGTGTATATGTTTGGAATAATGGGAACAATTTTGTTATCTTATCATATATGTAGATGATATATTGCTAGCTGGTAATGATATTGGTATGCTTAACCATACCAAATCATGTCTAAGTTCCCAATTTGAGATGAAAGATATGGGAGACGCCTCTTATGTACTAGGCATAAAGATTACAAGAGATAAAAGTTCGAGACTTCTATGTTTATCTCAAAAAAATTATTTAAAAAGTATTTTAAAGAAATCTAAGATGAAAAATTGTATGTCCATAGATACACCCATTTGTAAAGCTTGAAATTGTCAAAGAAAATGTATCCATTAAATGATAGTGACAAAGCTGAAATGAAGAATTCAATATGCTCAAGTTGTAGGATGTATAAATTATGTCATGTTATATACAAGACCTGAATTGTGTTATGTATATGGTCGTGTGAGTAGATCTCAGAGTAATCATGGAATGACTCATTGGCAAACTATAAAAGGATACTAATGTATCTTTAGAAACTAAAAACTACAAATTGTGTTAGAGGTTATTGAGTACTCTGATGCAAACGTTGCAAGAGACCCAGATGATAGAAAATCAACCCAAAGACTTGTATTCCTCTTCGGAGGTGGATGTGTTTTTGGTTTAGCAAGAAACAAGGTTGTGTAGCTCAGTATACTATGGAAGCCGAGTATATTAATTGTAACATGGCTATAACTTATGTTTCCTGGATTAAATGCTTCATAAATGATTTGAACCTGGATATAGCCGACGGACCTGTTAAATTTTTTGTGTGATAATCAGGTTATCATTCCTATAGTTTCAAGGGTAAGTACATTGAAATTGATTATCATTATATTTATAATATTATTAGAAAGAATGAAATAACTGTAAGTTATTTGCCATAATTAGATATGATTGCAGACCTTTTAACAAATGGATTAAGTGCATAAATATTATCAAAGCATGTAGCTTTGATGAGATTTAAGAACATCTAAGTCAAGAACTCCCAAATGAGATTTTTTTTTTTTGTCATGGTTATGAGAGGAAAAGCTGCATAAACATGAAAAACCCCATGATATGATTTTGGATATTTTTTGTGTCATGAGATACATAACCACACTAGAATGAAAAACCTCATGACAAGGATATGCTCATAAATATTAAACCCACTAAGTGATATAAACTTTATGATATTTCAATGTATCTGGCTCTTATGACCAAGTGAGAGATGTTGATATGTGTGGGTGGCCATGGGGTCTCACATGTGCTATATTTTTCTCTCTTAATGTAATTAATATTTATCCTAAAATATTATGTATTTTTAGTGTTTATCACTAAAAAGATTTTTAAAGAGAAAATATTTTTTTTCAATGGATAGTAGTTAACTACCAATCTCCTAGGTAAAGATGATAATGTTCTAAAAATATTCCAGGAAGAAAAGCCGAACATTGGAGAACGGCCTACTCTCATCCCTTTATAACTTAAGACAGCCTCCTCCCATCCGTTTATAACTTAAGATTTCATGGTTATGAAGAAGCACACAGAGAAAAACTAAAGAGTTTTCAATAGTTCTGGAAAGCCATGTTCTTTGCGATTTAAAGTCCAACGATATTACCTTCAATACCCGGAATTTTTTAGGGTTATCTCTCCTCCATTAGAAAGTTCAACACAAGTTCTACTAAAGATAATTGATCTCATTGGATATAATCCACCCCTTTTTATTTCGCAAACTTTCTTAACATCCACCACATTTGGAGAAAAATAAAAAAGATTGTGTGCGCCAACAACTCAACAAGCTAATACTACGACCCAAACCCATTATTACTGAAGCGTTTGTCAACAACTGTACTGAAAGCAATACAAAAGAGAAATAAGAGGATTTACTCTGGGACCCGATTTCTATGCGGCCAAGCCCGTATATGTAGAAATGCAGGCCTCTTAATAAATCTATTTTTGAGAGGATTTTTGGATTTAATTTTTAAGGACAAGTAATCTCTAACATGAATATCATGAATATGGATAAATAAATAAATTTTAAAAATTAGAAATAATAATTCTAATAAGAAAACATTTGGACTGTTAGTTTCCATTTTTTTTGGATGAAACGAGTACTTGCATCCATCATAAAGATGAAGGGCTTTCTATGCTTTCCCTACAACATAAAACTTATATACTTCCCCTTATCCAACCGTCCATTCTGAATGGAGAGCTAAGATTGCTCCAATCACAATGTCACGTCTCTACACCATTTTATTTTTAATTTTTTCTATAAACTATTTTGATACCAAATTTTGGACGTCCAATTCTCTATTAAACTCTCACTGGCAAAAAATATAAAAAAGATATTTCTAATAAAATAAGATGACCAAAATACCCCTAAAAATTTCAAGGGGTATTTTGGTCATTATATTTTATCGAAAAATTATTTTTAGTATTTTTTATAAGTGCGCCTCAATGAGAAAATGGCACGTACCAAATTTCATATTCATATAATTTGTATAAAAAAAACTAAAAATAAAATACTTTGAGACGTCGGATCTAAGATCAAACAGTGAGTGGCTCTCTTGATCAAAATTGGACGGTTGGATGGTAAGGGTAGCATAGATCTTCTATGCTGTAGGGGAAGTATGGAAACCTTTTCCAAAGATGAATGCTTTATACTTTTTGGACCACATATGTAGTCATGCGATCCAGCCCGCATGAAACAACTTTCCTTTATGCTTCACAAACTAATTCACCTGTAATAGTGAAAACATGCCCCTTCCATTTCATACAACTTAAGTCATTAAGAACGCAAAATCTTCATTTTTTCAAAAAAATTAAAAAATAAAAAATCATCTATTAAATCAAAGCTTGAATTATGATGATGAAATCAAAGATTTCAGGCAAATATTAACCCCCCTTGGCTAACGAACTTAAATGGTAGCAAGACTGTTAATGCACATAAAAAGTTTCTCAAGCACAGTCCTCGATTATATCCAGCATCATCATCCTTTTCCCAATTAATTGGGGTCCTTGATTATATCTAGTATAGAGTCCATAATCATTGATGCCCATACGATACATCTACAATGGCCATGTATTGTGTTATAAATTTAAGAATTAATATCCACAAGATGCATGTACACTAAACTAATACATCAGTTCATGCCAAAGGGGCTTCATGACACTTAGGTAATCAGGTCTCTCAAAATATACACTCGAGCAACTGCAATGCAGGATAAGCAAAAACAAAATACACCCTCAATACACAGATAAACCATCGCACATCGCACTACTCAATATTCTCTCTCTACTCCGAAGTCACAATGATCTTCCCAGTAGCATGCCCATCCATGATCTTCGCCCATGCCTCCTCTGCCTTGGCCAGCGGAAACTTAGAGTCGATCACAGCCTTTATCTTCCCATCTCTCACCAAGCCCAACATATAATCCAAATTCTCACCCTTAGGCGCCAAAAACAAAGGCACCAGCTTCTTCTTGGAAAACGTCAGTTTCTTTGTAAAAGAAGTCAAGAAAGCCCTCAAACGGGGTGTCATATCGATCACCTTCCCATTCTCACTCAAGTTTGGCTCAAAAATAGACCATGGGATATTAGTAGCACAATGAATAACAACATCATATTTTCGGCCTGATGGGCTCTTCAGGGCAGCACCTTCAGGGGTTTTGTAATCAATCACCTCATCAGCCCCCAAGCTTTTAACCAGCTCTATGTTGCGGGCACCACATGTGGCGGTTACATGAATGTTGCCGAGCTTTGCTAATTGAACAGCGAAGTGCCCGACCCCACCTGAGGCAGCAGTTACCAACACATTTATCTCTTTATCAGTGCTACTCTTTTCAAGCTTAAGACCAGCAGCCTTAGTAAGTGCTTGTAGTGCTGTGAGGCCAGCCATGGGTAGGGCGGCGCCCTCTGAGGCTGACACCTCTGGTGGCCTCTCCACCATCAAGGTCTTACTCACCACTGCATATTCAGCAAGCCCACCTCCATTCTGCCTCACAGTAATCCCACAACTTGGGAATCAGATTTGATAAACAATGGGATGAGAGAGTAACTATAATCCAATTTTATCTATACTATTATCCAATGGGATTATGGAAAAACAACGGGCAATTAAGTCATCCCCATCTGGTGAATCATGGAAATGATATTCATCCTTAAATCCACTTATTGAATGAGATAGTGCTTTGATCTGCATGACCATAGAAACTTTTTGGTCATAAATGTCATCAATGTCCAATCAAAGGATGAAGGCAACGGGCAGTGAGTGGGACCCACCAGTGCATGATATGACCTGAGTGGGGGGTCCCACTCTCTTCAACACCGTTCACCCATTGATTAGATGTTGATGACTTACGACTAGCGTACTTTCTTTGTTTAATTGACATAGATGTTCCAATTAACTGCAGGTTTTCCATAGTCCATTGGATTATCGTAATATATCCACAAACATAGGAAATGCACAATAGATGCTGTATTTTTCAACAAAACATTACCCGAAAATGGTATACTATGCTTAAAGTGTCAATCCCAATGCTATACTTTAAACAGATTTTCCATAAGATAACCAAATATATTCAGAATAATAGAATAATAAGCAAAGCCAGCAATTTAATATGTTTGTAGCAAGGGAAAGTACAACACATACATCTTGAATAGCGCATAGTATATGCATACAAGGTATCCAGCATATGTTCCCCAGTTGGAAGTAGAAAAGAACTATAGTTTTGTGTGAGTATCCAACTTTGGAACTATGCTTCATCTTCATGGTCAATTTTGAGAACTGATGGTGGATGCTACGGATGCATATTACAAATCACACTACAGGATGTCAATGGTGATGTTTTCCTCAGTAATTGCTTCATAATGGATTTTACTATGTATTTAAAGCATGGCCATGCTGTGGAGGTCATGTTCACTCACCATGAAGTGTAGCATGCTCACTACTTTGTCGCCTACTTTGAAATTCTGGATTCTGGAACCAACTTCAACAACCTCACCAGCAACATCTGTAACTGTGGATAATTGCTTCAAACATTTAATACTAATACTCTTTCAGATTTAAATACATCAAATTCTGGAAATAGTTTAGACGAAGGAAATACATCTAAGAAGCTGTAATAATCATGAGAAAATGAAAAGAAGAGAAAAACATTATATCAGACTGAAAGGCATGGAGTACATTCAACTGCATGCCGACAGAAATATTGGTTTTAATCTAAAGCACTAGAAAGAGCCAAGTAATTCTACTTGGATGCTGGAATGTGCAATCAGTGTAGAGGATATACACGTGAGGATGACAAAGATAATAATTTATGTTATTGTGGAACATACAACTAATGAAACGTATACAACAAGACCATTTACTTTTGTAAAAGGTCACAATCATCATTGATCATTATATTTGAAATCGGGTGGCTGAAAATATGTCAGAGCAAATAAAAAATGAAAACATCGAGTCACACACTACACGAATCAATAACCTAAATGCATCAAAAGCCCTAATTTCTTCTGAAAATCATTAATTTGTTTTAAAATTGAGTTCTCAACAATCCAAAAAGCAGTCCATAATTTGGCCCATAATCCATGCTATTTTCGACTTCTATACATTGTATTGGATTTGTAATATGGAAATCATATTCAATACGATCATTTTCATTCAAGTTTGAAGAAATTTGACACAAATTTGAGAGAGAGCAGTTTGAAATGGTGGAAACCTAATCTGTGCTACCTTCATGCAAAAAACAATTTGTAGAAAACAAAATACGGTATGAAAATGAAATTTAGTTGATTTATATCAAATCTAAATCTCTGTAGAACAGAAAACCACCGAAATTTGATCCAAATCAACCAAAATCCCCATTGTTTTCTTTGATTTTCGTTGACTGTTAAAAAGTTCAGGAACTTTTCGATTTCTTGGATTTGGAAGGCAAATCGATGGGGAATCCTAGTTTAAATGAACAAATTAGCAGTAGAATACTATGTAGGTTTTAATTATCTACAAAATAGAACCAAATTTCAGGACATTTGATAACAAATTGAAGCTGGAATTAATACCCAAAAAAAGAAAGAAAGAAAATGTGTCATTGTTTATGCATATAAAGTCCAAAATAAAATTTATCGAATGTTGTGACATATTTTCATCTATTGGATTTCACATCCAATGGCCAAAAGTGATTATGAATTGCTTGTACCAAACATAAATGATCTCACAGCATACAATCCCTACAACTAAAATACCCAAGACAGATCAAATAGATACATGCTACTTATTTTTATATGAAAATCAAAATTGCAGCACCACATCATATACATAATCCATGGCCTGTGCTTTGCACTACATGGACACTAACATAACTGGACAGAGAGGCAGAAACATAAACACTGTTTACATAAAAACCAATAAACTTAATGTCAGAATTTTCAGTAAGTGTGTCTGTGAGTGCATGTCAGTTGAGAGGAAGGGAGGGAGTGGTTGGGGTGAGTGACGTTTATTTGATGTATCCTTAACTTATGTTTTAGTGAAATAGAGAAGTTAAGCTGTATACAAATATTCATGTCAATCAAGATAAAATGATCATACATCTAGGAATATGACTAATTTTATGATGCACACGCCACATTTCAGTATTTGGACATTAGTGAAGAAGCTGCAGAAACAACAAAGAAAGTGAGTTCCGTAGAAGTATCATCACATAAATAGAATCCATGCAAATATTTATGTCGCAATAGACACAGGTCGCTGGCTAAAACCCTGAATCACACGAGATGTCAGTTTGTTCAAAGATAGGATATGGGCACATGGGCAATAATAAAACTGAAAGAATATCAGCATATAAGCTCATGGGAATCCATTTATAAAATTAAAAAGATGTCTTATCAAGGATTTTCTTTGATGGAATTTCAATTATTGTGAGTACTTAAATACTCTCCGAGTCATTCTACTACAATGACATCAAATGTCATTGGCTTGCAAACAACGAGAAAAAGGTGCCCCATCTTAACCACCTGCTGGTTAAGCAGCCTTTCATTTCTTGTGCAGTTAGCATAGATGTTCAGTTTGCATAGAAGTCACAAATTTCACACAACAATGGAAGTTTCATAAGATTTGATGTGAGAATGTGGAGCTTGACATATTAAAGGCAGGACAATAGATTTCAGGATGTGAGGGCAGTAAATGGGGACTATGCCAACATCCGCTAATAGGGTGTTCGCATCATGTCATTGCATTTGATTGGGCTGCAGGGGCAGCAATAAGCAAAGTGCCAGCTTTATAATCTGCTAAAGGTATAGGGTTGCAACTCCAGCTTTTTCTGTTACAATTGGTTGATTCAGTTCACAGATTTGGTGAATAGCTGAAAAGTCATGAAAGCTTCATGTCATAATATAGTCTATGAACTATATATCATGTATGAATCTAACCTGGTCACACTGTGGATATACATGATAAGATCCTGGAGAATGCCATCAAATTGTTAATAAAGGTGTTGGAAGCTGAGGTGGATCTTATTTCCAACCCTAGTGGTGGGCAGGTGGAAAATGTGTTCACCAAGAGGTTGGATGAAAGAAAATTTGAGTAGTTCAGAAAATGGTTTAGCATGGTGAAGGTGGACATGAGGTTGAGTCATTTGTTTGATAGTTGACAAACTCTGCACTCCCTAACAACTTATCTTCACTTCATTCCTAGCTACAGAAAACCAAATCCATAGCATAAGTTACTTTCTCACTGGGGTTGGTCATCATCCACTTATAAAGTGACCCCTTAGCTTATGGGAAAATACGGAGTGGTGACCTGTTGTTGGTGGTATAAGACTGAGGTTCTAGTGATTCAATTTAAAATTTTTTCATTATAGTGAAATCATGATTCTTTAATACATAAATTTTTCATAAAAGAAAACAATAATACACAAATTCTAGCCACTAAGCTTGTCTTGTACAATTTGTTTTTTACAAATTGCAATTCTAATTGGTTCCTTTTCATGTCCCAAACTCGAAATACAACCATATACGATGCAATGCTCAAATACTCAAATACTTGTGTTTACAACACTACACAACATACATACTCAAATTTTTCGTAGCACTTAGGAATTACTTCATCACTTCATGTCTAATCTTCATCCTCATCGAAACCACAAGATTTCATATGCACAGTAGACTTGATCATGAGGAGTCAAATATAAATTCAACTTGCATGGTATGTGGCCAATAATTCAACATGGCATAAAATCATTGATTAGATTGACATAAGAACAAATATATTCCCCACAAGACATGCTCAGCTCCTTCATAGGACAAATCATCAAATAACTGTAAATTATAACAAATAAACATATAGGCAATCATTTAAGAAGCCATAGATCAAACCCTTTGTGCCTGGGTCACAAATCGGACTTTCTAAGGACTTAATTTTGTCCCATAGATGGTTTCAATAATCAAAGAGATCACTTCACTTTGGGAAGCTTATATTCACTTTTGTACCACTTTAATAGGGGTCAATTTGAGAGATATATGATGGGAATCAATTTCTAAAGTGAGTTGAGAGATATCCAATTCAAAGGGCTCAAACAATGAGCATACTACACACTATGGAGCACGAGAGAACAAAACTTTTTTCAAGAACAATGGTAATCACGTATCCTCATTTTATATTCTCAAATATGATAAAGAACTCACTAATCTGATATATAAAACTCACTAGGATGCTCAAATAAATCAGGGAGAGAAAATCCATAGAAATCAAGATGTAGATGAAGGAAATTCAATCTACACTACACATAGTGGACCATGGGAACAACATAAAATGATGATCAGGAACCCCATTCTTGTTTCTCAAATATGTAAAATATACTCACTGATATGATGCATACTCAAACTAAAATTCTCAAAAAATTCAGAAAGAAAAAGGCTATAGAAAACAAGCTATAGTTGAAGGATACTCAATCTTCTCAACAAATGATCAAGGTATGGACTATACTATTGAGTTTTAGGACATATATCAATGAAACTACGGTTTAAAAGATCCAAAATCTTCTGTAAAATGTAATTTACAGCAAACGTTTGATGAACAAAAGATGATATAATGGAAATCGAACTCAATAGAAGTGAATACCTTGATGGGGGGGTGATCTAACATGATCTTCAAGAGGAAACAAGCTCACCATGGGAAAAATCGAACTCAAATTTATGGATCTCCATGGCTTGTTCACGGAACTCAAGTTGGACTCTGTCTTTGTCTCTACGTTTGAAATTGATCTTCTTAAGTTAGGGCCAGTTGAACCTTTAAGTGATATTTATATTAAGTGATTAGATGTAAAGTGATATTAGCCCTTGGTGCTCCTTATCTATGACACATAAGAGGCCATAATCCTAGCCACTCATCCCCATCCAACCACCAAAATATAAGGAATTTGACACAATTATCACCCCTCAAAACCCTAGGTTCAGCCTTTTTACACTTTGGTCCTTAGTCCCATAGAAAAATACCACTTAAGTCCATTGTAGAGATTCCTCAAATGCCCATGGTTTTAATAAATCATTAGATCACTTTATGGACAAAGACATGTCCATTTTAGTAAAAAGTAAAACCCACATGTGTGAATAAATATCTTAGGGAAAATTACAAAAACCCCCCCAGGATATACTATTCACTCAACTTACCCCCACCCAAACTTTTCCTCACACTTTTTTCCCCTCAACAAGCTTTCCTCACAAAAACCCCCCCTAAGTAAAAAGTTGTAATGTTTTGGACATAAATGGCCTTACCGTACAATAAAAATTCAATTGGCGGTCCCAAGTTGCCTATTGCCGGAGAAAAGAAAAACAACGCCGGACCGCTTTGAAATGACTGCTGGATCGCAATAGTCACTACCGAAGCGAGATCAAACAATGCCGGAGCACACTGCCACCTCGTCAGAGCGATGTGCTCCAAAAGAGTATTGCCGGAGCGCAGAATGTATCGTCGGAGCAACGTACTAAACTGCCGGATTGAAGTGGCTTATTGCCAGAGGGGCTG